GCTGTCGTTGTCGTTGTGGTTGTGGTTGTTGTTGTTGTTGTTGTTGTTGTTGTTGTTGTTGTTGGTTGTTGGTTGTTGTTGTTGTTGTTGTTGTTGTTGTTGTTGTTGTTGTTATTGTCGTTGTTGTTTTTGCTGCTGCTGTTGCTGTTGCACGGTCGGTTGGGTTGGTTGTTGGCGTCGTTGTGGCTTGTATTGTCGTAGTGATTGTGCTTGTCGTTTCGTGGTCGTCGGCCTCCCCAGGCCTCCCCTTGTCTTTCGTCGTCGTTGCTGCTGCTGGAGCACCACCACAACCCGGAATCAGAGCCAGAGCACGCAACTAAAGTTGTCAGGCTCAAAGAGCATGTCCGTTCGGACGATGCCCCTACCAAGCAGAAGGCTGACTAACTAGGGAACCAAGCAATCAGGCAAAGATGCTGCAAACCATCCAGCTCGTCCAGCTCCTTCGGGGCATACTCACCAGATCTCTCGGCGCCAAGCAGCTCACTCTGTCCTCGAAGATGTGGAGGCTGAGTGCTGGCGCCAGGAGCACTTCCACCTACAGTTCCGACATGTCCGAGCGGTTCTTCCCCAGAGCTGTGCACGGCCTGGCCTGGGAGTTGGTGGAGCACGTGGCCTTCCTTACGATGGCCTGGAAGGATCTGTCCGATCCACGACCCATGTCTCGACCGAATGAAGCTCACCGACAGAAGTCAGATGCAAGGACAGGCAACATCTACCACAATGCGCGGATGGCATACAGCGAGTTCTTTAGCGCCTGTGCATTTTCAAGTTGCTACTTTGCAAAGATTGCTGGTCCAAGCCGCGGTGTTTTCCAAACCCTCCGTCCGCGAGATGCCGCGGTTCGGCAATCCCATGAAGTGCTGGGGCATCCCCAGATAGAACTGCCTCCGCTGACGAACTCCCATCAGAGTCTCGGTCGCGGCTTCAGGGAGCAATTGAGTGCTTGAGTTCACAGGCCCAAGATGCTTCAGGGTCTTGTCACCAAACTCCAGAACAAATTGGTCTTGGCCGAAAAGAGAGGAGTAGCTAGCACGCATGTACCTCAGCTCATCCGATGCTCTTCGAAGTCGACATTAGCAGAAGCTACTCGAATTCTCACAGAACTAAACTACCACTCGTTAACTTGCACCAAGCGGCTGCCCGAGGAAGAAGCGATCCCTTCCTAAAGTGAACTCGAAGGCACCACCATGCTCGCCGTCGTGTTCGAACTTGATGGTGCCTGCCTCGCCTGGAGGAAGCTTGGAGAAGTGGCTGCACCTGGACAATTTGGCTAAGGCTAAGGTGTTCTCCAGATTCCTGTTCTGTCGCCACGCGATGCATCTACGCACCAGTTTCTGGCTCTTGTCAAGCTTCAAAACTTCGCGGTCCCTGTTTCTCTCTCGTCCGGGGCCTGATTGCAAGATTAGACATCGGCGTCGCTACAATACTCGAGGATACTCGAGGCACCTTCACAGCCTTCACATGGAATGTCAATTGTCGGGTGACGGGTGTTGCTGATCCAAAGCTTGTGAACCGACGAACACACGTGTTTTTCTGATGTTGGGCTGGGTCTGTCTCTCTGCCTGGTAACGGTTTAACGGTTTACAACGCCGCGACCTTCCATAGCTCACCATCGGCTTACCCTGCACTTCCAAGACCTTCTTCGTGGCATTGGTGATGTGCGCGGAGAAGATGCGCTTGCCAGAAATCTGCTGATGTAGGTCTTCACCTCTTTTTGCAATGAAATCGCCGACCTTCTCGAGCAAATTCATTCCAAATTGACGGCCAAGGCCACACACAGGACTTGCTCCATCTTGCCATAGGACAACGAGAAGTGTCTAGATGATGTAGATGATGCGGACATGTGGTCACTCATGACAGGCTACGTCTGTCTTTAAAACTGTGCGGTATGAGGACACAAAGCCAGGGTGGCTGTGACGCGAATGCTTGCATGAGAAAGGGCTGCGACATGAAACAAGTACTGTGACAACGGCAAGGACGATGGCACTGCAATTCGCCCTTGGGCTGCTTGTCTGAGTGTGCTCCCTCCTTTTGTGCTCGATGCGTGGCTTCTGTCGAACCATGCTCAACTACGACCCCGCGTTGCACCCCGTTTTCTTACCGGAACACCTTCAGCAGCTTTCCTGCTCCTGTACCCCTTGGCAGCGCAAGAGGCGCACCCGATTTCAGTGCTGCTCCTGAACAAGTCGTCATGGCAGGCAAGCTAGAATCAGAACTTCCATCTGTAAGCCGCAGGCTCCCAGTCGCTGCAAGTTGGACGCATCGCTAATCAAAGTGCCTCAGCTGGCACGGAACTTGTCCAACTACTGAACCACCCTGCAGTCAGAGCATCGAATGTGTCAAATACTAGGTAGCCTTAGTCACCTCAAGTGCTTATACGTGCCTGAATGGCAGCTCAGAAGTGGCAAGGAGCATGTGACTCCGCGATCCGCTGTCGCGCCTCTTGCACACAGCCGTTGCACATGCTCAGGCTCTGGAGCCTCAGTGTCTCAAATGTCTCAAAAGTGTCTCAAGTTTCCACATGACCTATCACCGTAGGTGTGCTCCTGTGCAACAATGCATTGGGCGATCATCTACTGGCTCTGTTTCCCAATTCGTATCCATTCCAGGGGCAAAGTCTGGGCGTCCGCCTCCTTCACGAATGACAGAAGACATAGAAGGACACACAGGACGATAACTGAATCCCCCCTTGCACTCTTGATGCAGCCCGCCTTCTTGGGGAGCAGACCGCTTGCTAGGACTTCCCATGAGCCGGCAAACTCCATGAAGGGCCCTTCGAGGCAAAGCCTTCGAGCTTCAGCCAAGGCCTTCCTGAGTAGAAGACATTCCGCTTCGCTCATACAATCTCTAGCAAACGCTCACCTCGGACTTCCCACTGCTCTGCTAAGCTGGTTAGACTGCCCGCATGGTGAGGCGATGCAGGGCTTCTCCTGGGTATACATCTGCGCCGAGTCTGAACTTTGGACGTGTGCTTTGACGTCTGCCCTCGTTGCTTCAGGTTGCCCTTCAAGGGCCATGGGCCATGGCCATCAACGTCGCAACGTCGGCCTAGGTAAGCTAGCCAAATGGTGCTGAAAATCCACCAGGTCCACCATCGTCTGGTTGGTGAGAATGTCCCCGTTGCGTGCTCGCGAGGTTTGCGGCAAAAGCAACTTGTCCAACTCACGACCACGACGGGTAGCCTTCGCCAAGCGTTGGAAGTCCTGAGGCTTCAGCACGGTACCCGTGTTCATCCAGGGCTTCGCTTTTGCCCTCGCTGCAGTCTGGAGCTTCTGAGTCCGAGCTTCCTCAATGGCGAGGCTCCTTCGAAGCTCCATGCACTCTTCCTCGAAGTGCGCTGGGCAGGCTACGAAGACCTTGAGGAAGCAATCCACCGGTTCCCGACAAACCGGACATGCAGACACCTTGACCAAACACCCTTCACAAACACACTGGTGACCACAAGGTACTGCCACTCTGTCTGCAAATGGTTCCAAGCAAACGGCGCAAACACTTCTGCTTAAGGCAGTCCAGTCAGGGTAGAAGTGAGAAGCCTGGCTCGCCTGGCTCTCTCGAGTCTCTGCCAAGTGCTTTTCAGCCTCGTTCTCAAGCTTCTCGAGCTTCTCGAGCTCTCGAGCTGCCTCCAATCTCTCGGACAACTCGACGACTTCGGCCTGGAGCTGCTCCCGCTCGTCTTGAGCCCTGCTTGCAGCTTGCCGCGCTTGTTGCGCTTCTGCTTCCTGCACCTCGGCTCTTGACCTCCAGGACCTCCATTCAGCCTGAAGCTGCTCTCGTAGCTCCAGGGATTGGTTCAACTGAGTTTTCACGGACAGCAGCTCCTGCGCTGTGCCGCTTGCAGCTGCTTGCGATGCTTCCAAGTCAGCCCGTACTGCCTGCAGCTCTGCCGAGCTCTGATGCAGGAGCCTGCGCAGTCTTGCCTGTTCTTCCTTTAGCTTCTGCGATGCGCAGCAGAGGTCGCACGCAGCGACCGCCGGATAGGCACTACAAGCGAGATCTTCCCCAACCACCTCGGCACGAACTGCGTGATCATCTGCACAATGGCTGCAATGGCCACCCATCTCCAAGGTCCTTCACCAATGCTGCAACCTCCTCCCCAATCCGCTTGCCATCCGCTTAGGACCTACTCTAGCATGCCCTTGCATGAAACCCCACTTCTCGAGGCTGCGCGCCTGCGGCGAGACATCCCAATGGTCCCGTGGGGGAGGGTTAGCGACCCTTCAGACTCTCGGCTTAAGAGCCAGTCCACACTGCTGCTACCGTGCATTCAAGAGTCGCATCTACATCCATCGTAGTCAAAGGCCTGCGACGCAGGCTTCGTGCAGCTTTCCGTGGCGGAGTAACAAGCGCCACATCGTCTCCTTCTGGTGATAGACCTGCGACAGGGATCCGACTGCTCGTGAGAGCTCCATTGTTTCCACCGCTGCCTGAAGCTTCATCGCCCATCCTCACCTGCTTTTTTACGTGGCAGTTTCATGTTCGCTTAATAGTGAGAGCAGATTGTTCGGACAAGGGTTTCATTGCACGCACGTGCCGAGAGCACTGCTATGATGGTACGGACACAAGGCACGGCCTTGCGGCGCTTGATGCTCACGATGGAGGCAGGATCAGCACGATAGTCTGAAAGCTTCTTGCCGTCCATCAATTGCGCACCGTCTAGGAGGACAGAGGTCGGCGTGAAACCCAGCAGGCTTCGTATCGTAAGTTTCAGCGACTGGATGGTATCGTCGCCGTGTACAGCGAGGCTCCGGTTCTTGCCGAGATACTGAAGCTTAAGCTTGAGTGCCATTGCCACCTCTGCAGTAGCTGCAGTATCTGGCCCCATGCAGTGCAGCGACACAGAGCTCATCGCTATTCGAAGCTTCTGCATCTGAGCTGCCTCCGACCAAGTCCAGGTCCGGCAGCTTGCCACGCTCAGCTGCTACACCACCCTAAGAGCCCAAGCCCTTCAGCCTGGCAGCTGTGCTGTTCCTTTGCAGGTCTGCACCTCATGGAAACCCCCACGCCTTTTTTCGCACCAGGGAAACATCGCATTGTTGTCTGACGCACAGCTTCTTGGAAGCACTGTGCGCTCCAGCTTCTGTACAGAAGACTTCGAAACAGCATAAACGGCACTAAGCCTCATAATGCCTCACCCAAACAACTTGCGTCCTCCGAGTCTGTCGGAGAGCGATGCGTACTACGAGAAGGCACGTGGTTTAGCCCAACCAAAGCCGCCGACACGATCTAGCTTGGCACTGACTGAAGCTGTTGCACGAGCTGTTGCTGCATCGACCGGATCTCTCGCATCAAGACCTCGCGGGCATTGTTAAGACCAGGGTCAAACCGAACTTGTCATCTTGCAACGGCATGCAGATTTCTTGGGTCACCCTCACACTGAGCCGCCCTGGTGCAAAGACGACCAACACTGTAACTCAGATAAGCCGAGTAACCAAGACATCCAGTGCTTTTGCTGCGCCTCTGAGGCGCAAGCACCCGCTGAGAAATTCATCTGCATCGAGCGTGCCATCATCGTCTAAGTCCAATATCTTGAATACCTTTGTGCTTCCGCGGAGTCTTGAGGCTCGAGTTCAAGCTCCGGAGCTCACGGAGCGAAGGGCGAGCCGCGAGGAAACGAGACTGTGCACATGCTCACGACCGTGTGGACAATTCTGGGCTGTGGCGACACGGACCCTAAGAGGTGTAAATCTACGTGTAAACAGGCCACAGTAAGAGTCACCGGACTCTAGCCTGATCCCTGCTCGTAATGTCATATGTACAGGCATGAACTCTTGACTCAGGTGAGTTGGGACTCTCCTCCCAACAGACAGAAAAGCAGAGTTCAACGGCACAGGGAGAGAGAGAGAGAGAGACAGACAGACAGAGAGAGATATAGAGAGCGCATGTGTGCGTATTTGTGCTGCAATGGGGAGGGAGTGAGGGAGAGAGAGAGACTTCTGGTGTGGAGGCCGTGCACTGACGAAAGGATTGTTTTGCGAAGAGACCAAGTCAGGTCTCATTCTGGGAATCCGTCCGATATTACATCAAGCATGGCGTGTGAGGAACATGTCCTGGCCTGTCTGCGACCACCGCTTTGTACGAGAACCCCCGGCACCAAGCATGCTCGCAGCCCGATGTTGTATCGCTCACTGCTTCAGTAACTCTTTCCATGCAGTCGCAAAATCCACCCAAGCGTTTGGATCGTTGTGGGCACGCCTCCCTCTGCCCGAATGCGGAAGAAGACTCAGCAAAAAGCACGTATCGGCTGGTAACATACAGTAAGGACCTGGATTTCCAGCACGACACATGAGTCTCAGTTCTGGGGCGGGTGCTGCTGCAGCACATGGAAACGAAATCGCTCCGGTGCATGTGCACGTGAAGGGAGTCATGACTCATGACCGTGTGCTCAAAACGACCAATGCAGTCGACGCATAAACTCAGCAAACCTCGCGTTCAGCTTTAAGGTAGCCGTGTCGCCTGTGACACCCTTCGCACAAGGCACAAACTGAATTTTGTTTGGTTCGTTCAGGCTGGTTGCACAGTGAGCCTCGGATATGTCCAGGTCAATAGCCTTGAAAAGCTCCTGTAGGACTGTAGGTCTGATCGGCTGACAGTGCGGACATACACATAACATTCCATCATGCTGGGTATGCCAGCTGCGAGCAGCTCCTTCATGTCTTTGGAGTTAACACTTGACTGGAAGTCATCCCAAGTGATGACACCAGTACCAGAGGTTTCCATTCGCCTTGGGAAACTGACTCTTGCTCGGGAGAACTGGCAGCAGCTTGAAACAAAAGCTCTTCGGCAGGTGGCTTGAAAACTCCACGCACGTATTGTACCAAGTAGTTGTCCTTGTCCTCCTTTACCCTCTTTACCGCACTCTCGACGCAGACCTGAGTTTGTTTCACGAGGCAGCTCCAAGCTAGCGTTTGTTTGCCCGCCATTTATCGGCCCTGGCAGGATTCCACGGTAGATGCAAGACTTTTGGTCAAAACATGCTTTGGCTAAAAGCCAATTTCCGCAAGAAAGACACTCAATTGCATGCACACGCACACACACACACACACTACACCGTTGCACAGACCAAGAAAGGCCGGGACCCCTGTGATGACGTTGAGCAACGCTAACAGCGCGAAAGCTATGTAGCAGAAGACAACGAACACCGGGACCGGCCCGGTGTGATCCTCGGTGCCATCTACGACTCTACGCAAAAAAAACACTTGGCGCACCTGGCACCGAAAAGAGCCGGAATGTACTTGAGTGACCCAGGGTCCATCAAAGGGTTCACGGCAACTGCCCAATCCATCCCACCGGTAATGATCTGCCACAGCGTAAGCATGCCTGCACCAAGTGCCGAAGCAACAGCACAGGCACCGCTCGGAAGCCCAGCTGTGATACCAAAACGACAGTCAGACGCAGCTTCAGTCGCGAGGCCTCGCTCAAGTGATCCATAGTAGGTCCTGGGCAATACAGAAACACTGCGCCGGGACTTGATGCTTGAGTTTCCCGTGCTAGACTTCCTGCCGGTGCCAAAACCCACAGAACTCAAGAGACCAACACGACAAGGTCTATCATTGTCTTGATGAAATGCACCACAACTCCTGCAGCCGGCGTCTCGAAGATCGGAGTTGCAAGGGTCCCGGATTGGGAACGACAACGATCCGGCAGGAGTGACTTTGGTTCTCCGCCAGTGTTTGGCCCCTCTATCCTCTAAACGCATTCTCTGATTATTGTCCGAGGGTCCCCAGCTGCTCAAAGCCCTCGTCTGCAATATCTGCCGCCACGCGGTAAGAGTTGCAAGTGTCAACCAAGAAAACTGCAAGCAAATAGATCCTCGACCATTTCAGTTGTCAGTCATGGTCTTCGCGGAGACTTCACGCAATTTCCAGCTAAGAGGCAGTGTCATCAGAACCAACCTCGATACACAGCAGCGCGCTTTTCTACTAGACCATCGCATAGCATAGATAAATCTCAATCCGGGAGGGAAAGAGATCGAGGGACAGGAGCAAACAAAACACTGAACACTATAGACCGATAGACACTGCTACACACTCACACACGTGCACATCCTGCGCCTGCCCACGCTTTATACACGTTGTACACAAAACCTTTTGCATTGAAGGCTCAGTGCTCCCAACAGAGGCTTTAAGCAGGTTCCCACGGACCAGATGATTGCTCGAACTTCTCCCAGCATCCTGACTCATGAAGCGTTCTTTCATGTCAGTGGACATTATTGTGATTCTTCGCCTGTGCAAATCCCACTCTACCTGATACTGTGTAGTGACTGGAGAGATATACTAGAGTGGGAGAATGGGGGAGTTCGAGCAGACACGCGGAAGGTTCGCACACAACTTTGTAAACCGAGCAAAGACAGCAGTCGTGCAACGCTGGCCTCAGCACACGATAGCTTCGCACCTGAGCATGTGGGCGGTTGAGTCAAGCTTCTGCCAAGCATGCGGTTTGCCACGTTTGGAAAAAGGGTGAGCTCCGCGCGATGCGCACAAGTCTCACCATTCGAATGGACCGCATAATGTTGAAGTTCACAGAGCCAGCATCAGAATTCTCCTTGTCTGCCGTGTGGACGGTTACGACGACCTGGGCACGTGAAGTGGTCAAATCTCAAGCACAAGACATGCAAGTATTCTGACTAGCCAAGCCACATCAAGCCACTGCAGGGCCATCAGAAAGAAGTCAAGCAGATTCATAGTCCAGGCCGCACCCAGGAAAAACCGAGACGGATTTGCCGAGATCTTCAGAACCATCTCAAGGGTGAAGAACGCGCCTTTGTTCACGCGAAGCCAAACGGTTGGCGATCTAAACCTGACCGCGAGAAGCCGTGCGTGCCAATCCGATGCAACAAGTCCAAGGTGCAAAATGCCCAGCCGAGCCGGATGAACTCCTCTGGCGTCGTGGACAGCAGGTTGGCAGCCATTATGTTGGTTTCCAGCCCTAGGCAGAAGGCGTTGATGAGGATCACCATGAGTGTCAAGTACTCCATCGGCCAAGCGTACACCAGCATCTCGTAGATGTGCCACCAAGAAGTAGACGTGCGAGACACTTCCGGCTTATCCACTTTGCTGGTGTTGATTCGTTGTAGCCGCTGCCGGAGCGGATCCCAAGTGTTCGGACCGTCAGGACCGTCCGCAGGAGGATTGCCGGGCTCATCCCATTCTGAGCGACTTTCTGTTTCTTTGTCAGGCTCCTCCGGCACCGGCGACTGCGCAAGGCCCTGAGAACTTGGCCCGTTCGGCTGGAGGGCCGGCGGGCCATCATCGCCAGGTGGCTCTACCTCTGCCTCCTGCACGGCCTGCACGGAGCCCGGGAGTGATGGCGGCTCCGGGGGCGGAAGCGAGCGTTCCGATGCTATCGACACCCTCGGTCCCTTTGGTTTCGGGGATGCTGGTGGTGAGTTGGGCAGTGACCGTTGAGGAACGATCTGGAAAGCAGGTGCCTCGTGCTCTGCCTTGAGCGTCGGCCGCCTTATGTCAACAACCGCCTTCCAAATTTCTTTTACACTAATGTGCTGGTTCGGTTTGGGAGATTCTCGAAGTGCAGCCGGACGGACGTGCCGGTGAGCCCACTCGTGGTCGGTTGAATGTGCACCCTCTGTCTCATCCACCGTGGCAGTCTGGGCTCGAGTGGTAACCGGAGTTCTACCACGTTGGCCCAGCAGCTCCTGTAGCTGCTCACAGGAGATCTTGGCGGTCTCCTCCGCGAAAGTCTGGAACAAATCTGGTAGTTTCTCTGCAAACCTTTGCAGCTCCCGCTGCAGGGCTTCACATGTAAGTGCATCACCCGGCAAGCATTGCTTCTCCTCGGCCATGCTAGCAAAACTTAGATCAGCCAAACTCTTGGGCCACGGGCCTGCACCAAACAGTCACGGTTGCTTCGACTACATGCCTAGTCGGTAACGGTGAGTCTGTTTCTGGTCCATACTTGCTCTGCAGAATGTATCTTTTCATCGGCTGCAGGACGCAGCGGCTTTTGGGAGACAACGCACACGAGAGAGCACAGACCAGTGCAGACCCGACTTTGGCAGTAGGAGGCCAGACTTTTTTCTTCTCGCAGCTACTGTGCACTGTTTCACTGTACGGCACAAGCCTCAGTGGGCACATCGCACGGCAAGGCGAGCGCATATCACAAACACAGACCTTTATCATCTACTACCCCGCAGTTGCAGCAAAACCGCTGTGTCGACTTGAAGGTTGGGAATGTCGTTCTCTTTTCTCGACTTCCCACGATTCCGCTTTTCTGGAGTCGTCTGCATCAACTGCTTTAACCTGCACGGCTTGTTTAATCAGGAGACTCAGCGCTAAATTCCGCCATCAGATAGGTCTGTGTTCGCAGCAACGATTTGGAATCAGCAAGCTGTCAACGACTGCAGCACCGCAAACGATGTCCGGTTACATATCAGGATCGGGAAACGCTCCAAGAATGGGGCGGTTACCAGTACGGCTCTCCACCTCTCAAGCAAGCTGTGATAAATCCTGCAACGTGCCTCTTTTTCTTCGCCTCGCTGGAGCCTGCAGCAATCTCCTTGAGTTCTGGATTTTCCTTCAAGTATTGCTTCAGTGCTTCCTCTGTCTCCTGGGAGGCACCCATGGTGGGACGTGTGCGTCAAAGAATCTGCGACGATGTCGGCCTGCTGTTTTTGCTTCGCAGTCTTCTCAGCCCAAGCCGGAGTCCCATACCTCGACAGGATAAAATTGAATTAATCCGCCGCGGCCGAGGCTCATCACACAGATTCCCATCCCCTCCTCAGTCGATCAGTGGTTTGGTCCGATTTTACCTGCCTCTCATCAGGAGGTGTTCGGATTTTGTTGGCCGACTGCCACTGCCACTGCCACTGCTGCCAGCGCCATCGTCACTGCCACTACTGCCACCAGACGACCACCACTCCTGCTTCTACCACTGGAACCAGCACCACAGCTGCCACTACAAACCCCTTATCATACGCACCCCCACACCGCACTACCAAAAGAACTCCCTGTCCCCTGCCGCACCACCACGCGCCACCACCCACCGCACTCCCCAACAGTCGCCACCACACCGTCAGGGTTTGTGGATGATTGGGTGTTTAGAGTCCGATCCGGGTCCCCGCGCTCGGTGCCCAAATGCAGCTCGGAAGAAAGCACTGGGATGCGCACACAATACATTTGGAGGAAGAGTCGTTCTTGCCTCCACCCAGATGGCCATCCTGAACCAATCTGGCCGTTTTCATAACTGTCGCATCTCGACAGACTGAAGTCTCCTTGTAGTGGTCGTAGGGCCTCTTTTTGTCTAACTCTTGGCCGCAGAGATAGCAGCCTTTCCCGCGGTCGCGGTTCGCGCTGCGGCCGAGGCTCACCGAGGCTCCGGCTGTGTGTCCCGCAGGGACACTTGATGTGGTTGCAGCCCTCTTCCCTGGTTCCATCTTCGACCCAAACATGCCCCCCCTGGAAGAAGTCTTGCTCTTCGGGCCTTTCGTAGGGTTTCCGGCATCTCTTGTTGGGACACCTCCGGAGGGCTGCCTCTGCCATCCTCTCTTCCAGGAACGTCCTGTGCAGGTGGTGCAGCTGCCGACGCCTGCTTTTGCACTGGCCATAGTTGTCCCACCTGATTTTTGTCTCTCCGTCCTGTGCTGCGGCCCGAGACGCAAACAAATCCGGAGGTTCGTCCAATTTCAGACGGCATAGCTGGCTAAATTCGTGGCAAACGAGTAACCTCCTCGACTTCATCGCACTTCAACGGGCTGTGCTCGGGCTTCATGCACCAGCGGCATGTTGTCTGACCACACTCCGGATCCAAGCACCTTACAATGCCATCCTGAGCTCAATCGTGGTCAGATGAGGGACAAATCAGTGCACGGCAGCATGGCATCGTGTGAAGGAAGGCGCATTGGGATCTGTCATCTGCACCATGAAGTCGCAACTGGGGCCTAGCAACTACATCTGATGTTCAACGATACTTGCGGCATAAGGAAGCCACCATGCCCGCATCACTCTCACCCTAAGGCAGCTGCATGCGACCAGGTCTGTTAGACCAGAGTTTGCCGCTTCAAGTGCGGCTGAGCGCCGTGAGTACCGAGCCTGAGCAAGCATCATGCATGTTCACACGAGCACAATGCGTTCAGCCACTAACACCTACAGCCCAGTTGCGTAGTCCTTCTTCGGCAGAGCCTTCGAACAGTCAACCGGGCTCTTGCTCTTGCACCATACTCAGCCCAAAACTCCAGAAACCCTGCAGCATGTTATGACATCTCCGGGGCCTTCCGCAGAGCCGTGTCCGTGAAATGGCCTTGACAACCAGAAGTGTCCAGGCAACCTCGCACAGCCAAATGGCATGCGGCCCATGGAGTTTAGGCTGCCAACCTGTATCAAAGATCGGCACTACTAGCAGCGGACTCGTCTACGATCTCCGAGCGGCCGAGTTTTGAACAGCTCAAACCCGGGATCCCAGCATCACTCCTTGCCACTGCATACTCTGCCAAAGTAATCGCTGGCATCTGCTGGCAAACGAGCAATTCTTGAAAGGGCTCCTCCCCGCGGAGCTGCTTGGGTCTTGTGAGCTACCCCCGCTCAAGTTCAAGGTGAACAATCCCCGTCCAAAAAACTCCAGTGCCGCGCGCTTGACCTCGGCAGCTTGGGACCGGAATCTCTCTGAGGTCAAGCGAAGCTGACAGTTTTTCTGCCTAAGTTCTGGGCACATGGAATGCAGAAACCATGCCCAGCCGCTCCGGTACACCGCAGCTCCTCCTGTGCATCTCCCGGCGACGGGACAGGGTTCGGCATAACTCTAGACTCCGCCTTAAAAGCTGGGAACCATTCCATCTTGTGACGAAACCCACGAAGCTCAACTCCAGCAAGGTCGCAACTAGTAACTAGTGGTACAGTCAGGTCTAGCTGCTTCTGTGTTCATCACTGCTATCGAACTTCGGGTCTGAGATGTTGGGAGGCAGCATGGCACCCGCACATAGCAATCCCTGCCGAACATGCCAGAGGCTAAGAGCGGTTTACGGCCGTAGAGCGTCTGGACCACACTGCTTTTCGGTGCCCTGCCTCTGGCAGGAGCTCATCATCAAAGCAGCACCCACAAGTGCCGAGACCGCCGAGAGCTTTCAGTTCTCGGATTCGCTCAGCCCGAGCCTGAACACTGATCATTTCCACTGGCAAGAAACTCGAGCAACGAAAGCCCGTAAGTGCACCGCCTGCTTTCGCTTTGTGAATGCCTCGCCGATGGCGACAGCGTCGGGCCCGAGGTCCATTTCCTTTGCTGAAGACGTCATCGCAGCACTGCTTCGTGCATTGAGGAATCTGCCCACCTCACACAAGCAAAATGCTGCTGGGCACTTTCTGCAGCATCGCTGGTACTTCACAAGGAGGTGCAGGCTTCTTTGGCCGGGAGCACTTCAACGATTCGTTGTCTTCGCTCGCCTCGCGGCTGCTTTGGATAACTGCGCACGTTGTATTTGGGCCTCATTCAGCCACAGTGCCTCCAGAATTGAGCGTGCTTGGCTGTAGGTTCCCGCCTCTTCACGTTAATCTTGCAACTTCTTCCACACACAGGTCCGCACCCTCCCTACGTATGAGCACGCACTGGTCTGCAAGTCTCGAAGTGAAAGCAAAATATTCCAACTCTCTACCTCTTCTTCCACTACATGTAGGACGGGCAAAACCCGTCTGTGCGAGAACGCGCACCGGTTTGGTCCGTCTGTGGCGAGCAGCTGTCAACGGAGAGACATGCGAGGAAAGGCCCCGTAGGTGTAACGAGAACGCCCTAAACCTATATCTCTCTCTCCCTGTCTCTCTCTCTCTCTCTCTTTGCTTTGCTTGGGGCTAGAACTGCAGGCAGTCCCTGCAGTCCGCGCTGTCGCGGCTTTCTGTCGGACACCCCTTTCCCCGCACGCGGACGCGCACCTGCGGGTCCTGACAGTGATTCGCCCCTAGCAGCAAACCCTTACTTAACCTATCTCTGTCGCACTGTCTGCGCAGTCTGCACGAACCGCCCTTTGCGGTCTGGCAGCGGTGCCTGCTCGAAGGCAGCGCGGATCGTTAGCGCAGGGGCTTTTCTGAATTCGGTCATCAGTGCATGGATGGCGTGCAAAGAGTAAGCCTCAGCAGCAGTCACACAGCACCGACAGCATCCAGGTCGCAGTCCCGACACCAGGAAAGCAATCAAGGTCAAAAGAGGAATGGGACCAGGCCTGGGAGTCCTTTGTCCCCGAATCGATCTGCAAGCCATCGTCGAGTTTTTCGCCCCGGAGCCAGCAAGCCCACCTTTCAATGAAGTCATCCATTGAGCATGTGCCTTCTCCTAGGATAAAGCTTTGTCTTCTCATCGGTGGGCGTGCCTTCTTACACGAATTGGCGCACTTCTGACCACACTGTCTATGTCCATTCTGCATGTCAACAGGGCTAGCGATCATGGCCTGCACCTTTGTAACCTTTGTACCTAGGAGCTCAGTATCTGAGTACCGCGAACGCGACATGGTCGCCCGCGTCATGACTCTTGGAGTTCAGACGCCCGGCGTCAACTGAAAATCCTTTGCAAGCCGACCCTTTTGACCGGCAAGACACATCTCCTCGACTTCTTCCCGCTCCTCAGGGCTTGCAGCCATCACAGGGTCCAGAGAAGCCAGCTGCTCGCCTGGGGTGTTTTTATGCATGCCGTGCTACGCCCTTCAGCGCACGTTCCGGTCGCCCTACTCACCCTGGATGAATTTGTTTCGGTCAAAAGCATGTGTCAGTATGAACCACAGTCCAACTGCCGACTTGAGCTTTCCCTTCCGAGACGAGAGGCATGATTGCGTTCGCCGTCTCTTCGCCGCAGGCGCAGGCTCCCTTCGCTCTAAATTCTCCAGGCCTGGGCTTTGCTTGCCCACAATCCCCAAAGCATACGAGTTCCCCATGACCCAACCTCGGTGTCCAAAGAAATGTCCGGAATCAAGCAACTGACTTCAGTTGGGATGGGGAAACGAGCTTCGACGATACCAAGGACCTCTGATCTGAGGAGATAGATTCGATTCGGCAACGATCAGCTCTAAGCACAAAAAGTTCGCTGAATTGCAGAAAAGAAGCTCCTGACTTCCTGTTGCTCTAAATCGATGGGCTCGTGATGGGTAAAGGCCTGCAGGAGCCAAACTGGTGCGCAGAAGCTCGCCAACTCCCGGAAGTTGGGTCCTAGGTCTGACCTACACTGCAGTGCGAGATGCGTGCAACACGGGGACGACACTGGGATTCTTGTGACCCGGACAGCATCTTTTCGAACAATGCCTGCTTGCTGTCGGAATTAGGGCAACGGTAGGGCCTTCTCTTGTGGGTAAAAAGCACCTCCTTAGAAGGTTTTGATACTTCTCAAGCAGAGGCTGAATCCGGAACCTAATTTCAGAATCGCAAACCTCAGGACCTCAAGCTGCGCCATCTCCTCCGCATACAGCCTGCGTGCCAGCTCCTGGACACGCATCCCTTGTCAACAGTCAACAGGCTCGTTTGCAATCCGGCTGATCTCAGCCTCATCTTCATGAATCTGTTGCCAAATGGCGGCCATGAGCACCAGTGTCACGAGGTAGAAAGAAATATGTCAATGTTGAGCCCTAGATGTGTGGGCATGCACGCCCACATGTGAACAGCCTTCTAAAGGTGTGGTCCGTGGTGGCGATGTCAGGTTACCAGTCAACGTTTGCCAGTGATGTGCGAGGAGCTTTCTATTTCACCATGTGGGTGCTTGAGGCTTGGGCCATCTACGCGCTGCAAGAGACGAGGACATGCCAAGATCTGCCTAGGGCCTAAGGCTCGTTCGGAACCGAAGACAGCAGCTGTCTGCATGCACGGCTTCTTCGATTTTTTCTTGGATCGTGCTGTCGCTTAAAGAACCAATGCCACCAGCAATGCGCCTTGGTGTCACGCAAGGGCAGCGAACCCAATCAAATCAGGGCAGGTGATGACGATTGGCACACCGCTACATGCAAGACGGCCAGACAAGTTCGCATCCTCAGGTGCTTGCTCCGATTGCCTGCGCCAACACTGCTGTACTTCCGGACGCCGCGTCGCCTGGGCGGGGCTTCTGCAAACCGGAGCCCGGAGCACGCATGAGTTAATCCGAGCTCCAGACTCTCGCTTGGCGCTCATGACATCCAGGGCTTGTTGGAATTGATCGAAAAGATCTGGACTCAACTTCAGCAGAAAGGGCGGATGTCTTACGACGCGTTGGCCCCTGGGGGCTGAACAGAATTGAGCTACCTCTGATTCGGCAACAGCAAGCTCACCTGGCAGAAGCTTTCACCACACGGAAGTCATTAAATTCCAGTCGCACGGGCCTGCTGCAATCTTCCCGCAAATCTCAATAGCTGCATGCAGCAGCTCACCGTGACGGCTTCCCGAGAGTGGCCTCGTTGCCGCGAACTGAACGCAGTTCGGTATTCTACCCCTTTCCGAAAAGATGGCTAAGGAACGTGCAAACAATGTGGGTTCACGAAAGCCACAGAGCACCTCTGGACTGATCAACCCTTGACATTTGAAGCTCTGACGGAGCTCGATCGCTGCTCAGGATTGCAAATCGAAGTTCTCGAAGCTCTTGATCTGCTTGCTCTGTCGGTGAGTAACGGGCGGTGCTCAAATGTGTGCCCATGTGCGCGGGCAAAAAAAGGCATGTGTTACCATGACCTGCCTGTCTGCTTGTCTGTGCGCTCCACATACTCAGAAGTGCACATGTTGACTGGCAAATGCCGAGAAGGCCCTTGACTTATGTAGGTGCACATTGCACGCGGACAGACGGAGCGCAGACAGACGGACAGATATAGAGCCCGGCACTCTTTTGCCCAGAGGTGATGGCCATCATCTGGCGAAAGCTCAAACCTGTGTGAGGGCGAGGCCGGCCCAAAGCGTTCGAGGCAATGCTCTCGGTTTCGACATTTTCGGTCAACCCGAGACCCTGCCTCTCACAGTTCGTCAGCAACCGGCCCCTCATCGCAAGTGCCTCACACATGTGAGCTTCAGATCTGCATGGATCTGCTGAAAGCCTGGCAACTATTGCGAGCAGTCCATGGCATGATCGCACGGCGCTTGCCACAGTCAGAGTCATTGCCAGGGCACTCCAACAAGCGTTCGGAGCACCGCAGGTGGTCGATCACAGGGCTCCAGAGCCTCAGCACAGCTGAAACTCTGCCAAGAACTTGATTTTCAAGAGAGATGCTGACCATTTGAGGAGATGCTCTGTGGCGAAGCCAATTGCATCCGAAGACTTCTCGCGTCTTTTGCGGATCGCACCATCGACATGTCCACTAGACTCATCACCTGTCTGATTGGTGTCCACCTCTTCACTAGAACCACCATAAAGTTTCAATAAGCCTGCGGCCACACATGCAGCATCCAGGTCCGTGGAATGCTCAGGAACCAAGTCCTGAGTCCACATTTCCAGCATACTGTAATTTCTAAGGCCACAGAGCGAATCGCTCCGCAGTTCCAACCTGCTTATCATCCTACGACACCACAGCTGGCCTCGCCTTGTCAGGGCACAGGTCCACATCCAAAGCGAGAACAGCCTCCACACCAAGCCCGCCGGTGCTTGTCAGAACCTGTGGCAAGAGAGGGACATCGCTTTCCCGAGCTGCCAGAAGACATCTCGAAGCTGCTGCATCTGGTCCAACACACGCTGTCATACTCTACTTAGACTCTACTCGATGGACCAGGCCGCAAGACTCAGGATTTTCTTCAGTACTGTCGCTGGGTGCCTCCGTGACGATCTCCGCCAACACCACTGCCAGCTGCGCCCGGGCCTGGGTCAAGCCCTCGAGGCGGTCCTCAGAGGTCACCGCTTGGGACCCGGGACACGTCGACCGCACAGCCGCCCAGCCCTTCGACCGGTCCTGGATGGAAATGCCCAGCATGTCATCCAGAAAGCTTCTGCCTGGCCCACAGCACTGTGAGCCTTTTTTCGTGCGTCGTGCGATCCGAATGTCGCACGAACGTCCGCCCTCCCACTCGCTGCTCACTCTCTCCCTCTTCTTCCTGCCGGGCTGTTCGGCTTAGTAGGGGGTGCGTCTCAGCATGTGTCAGCCAAAAGAAGAAAGGAACGTTCTCCGTGCTCTCTTCCCGAACTGCCACCAGGCCATCATCGGCCGCCATGGCGACGGCATCCATCTGCCTGGGCCGGCTCCGGCTGTTCCTGTGTACCGTTGTCGGCGCCTCCGAAGGCTGCGAAATGCCGCTGCATTGCGCCATATTCCGACTGCCCCACACTGAAGAGACTGTGTTTGTTCAGTCGTTGCGGGTGTATGCGATGTGTCGGAACTGCTAGCCTGAATAGTTTCTTTTTCCGGACTCCTCGGCCTCTGCTCCATCATTGTGGAGGCATGTGGGATTTTGGGTGTCATGTCGGTCGCTGGACGGTGGCGAGCCTTCTTCGGCACGGACAGAAAGCAGGCGGACCCCGCGCTCCCCTCGCGCTCTGGTAGGCTCAGTCCGAGATAACTCACACACTACGGCGCTACGGACAGACAGGAGAGGAAGGGCCTGTGCAAAGTAACAGGAAACCACTAGAATCGCAAACCCACTCGGTCTCTCCCTGCCGACACTCCAGCGGTGCTCAATCAGCAGCGCTAGCCCTATTTGGAGTCGGGTTCTCAGCCGGGCACGGCACATGGCTTGACAACAAACAAAGCACCTCAAACTAAGAACACGAGAGAAAGAGATGGAAAGAGAGCGAGAACAAAGTGGTCAGTTGAGCAGCTCATGGGATGTGCCAACACACTACACACTGCCAAGGATCTACTACTACATTGCTGCTGCAAGGAGAAGGCTCGCGGCCTTCTTAGCTGCGGAACGTAGGGGCAGACCGCACACTCTATGTTCTGGTGTCGAAATAACTGGACTCGTACCGCAGCTATAGACCCCCTTCTCTCTCCTACTATCCACCGCGGTCGCTGCAGTGCCTGCCGAAGGCACCAGTGGCTGCAGCAGGGGGTGCTGCCTGCCGTAGAGTGTCAACTTGCCACTGGTCTCAGGTCATTTCGTCATTTCACGACCTTCCACAGCGTGACGCTTCAAAAGGCTGCCGGGTGGCTGAAGATCTTGGCGCGAGGGTGCAGGGCCCGAGAGGAGCACCATGTAGAGGGGCCCATGCCATGCACCTGCAGTAGAGGTTTGATGGCTTACTGGTGCTTCTGCTCGGCGGTCCTAACTGGGCCCGGCTGATCAGCAAACGCTGCAGCAGGAAGGCGATCTCGTCCAGCGATGGTGCGATCAGCAACAAAGCCTGTCCGAGGCGCTTCGCGGTGTTTGGAGTGTTGGGCCTGCTAGGCCCTTGAAGTCCGTGCTCGCACCTCCATGGGCCTCAACCGCAACGAGGCCATGCACATCAAGGCACCTGCCCACAAACGTCTGTCTCCCACGTGCGGCCACGCGAATACCACAAGTCCAGCGATGATTGCATCTGGGCATGAGCTGAGCACTGATCATGGGTGGCACGTGGGCCACGAGCGCAGTGAGAGGTAGCTTGGGGTCGACCTGTCTCAGGTTCTACTGTACAGTCCAAGGATGCTGGCTCAGCTCCCGGCGCCATCCAAGGGAAGCAACATCGAGAAGTGAGCACCTTACACTCGACTCGCAGACGTCGTCGTCTTCCGGCATCACTCAGTTCGTCTGAGGTCTGAGGCTGACGGTTTCGCGATAGCATCCGCCCTCTTCCGACGCCGACCTGTAAAGCTTGTCGGTTGGCCACTGAAGGGGTGTTTGCATGCGTGATCACTGGAAGTCTCAGCGCAGAGCTCGGAGCGAACCTCAGAAGCGTGTGCATCAGGCATGCTCCCATGCCAGGCTTTGCCCATGTGGCTTCGGCTTCCTGGGAGCTGCCACGCAAGACCTGCAGCGTGCGAGTCATGCGCTCAGTAGACTCCGAGAGCTCCGCTCTCCATCCGCCTGGAAGGAGGGATCCACGATGCCAAGGACAAGCTCGCCTATGCGAAGACCTTGAACCAAGTCGCCAAAGGCTAAGACCTGGCCGTGCCAAAAGACCAAACGTGCACATTTGGACATTTGGGAGGGCTGTGCATTGGACACCGGCCCGATGGGCCAAAGAGACACACATCTGAAACAACGCCAAATTCTCGCCGGCCTTCCCGGCAAAAAATGTTCCGGGAACAAAGGTTGCTGCGTCCGACCTTCATGCACCGGAGTGTCTTCATCCTGTTAATTACTTCAAACTCAGGGCTTACCTGGCCTGGCGCCTACTTATGGCTATAGGCACTGTCTGTGCTAGCAGGAATCACGAACGGCACGAGCGAGGGATCTGCTGGTCAGCTTTGGACACAATGAGGGCGCGCTGACAAAGAAGAACCTGGTATGGAAGGTCATAGGGTCATCGAGCAGAGCGGCAGTCAGTAGCCCGTGGCCCCGACATCCGTGGGTGTTAGTGCCGCCACCTCTCGCTCGTAAGTCGCGCTGACGGAATTTCGTGAGACATCGGGTGCCTGCACCCGCACCAGCACATCTTCTGCTGCGGGGCTTTGCCGCAGCACTCGCACCTCGGTGTTTGCGACCCAACAAGGACAAGCGAAAACTCGGGGAGTCACGAAACCTCACTTGTCTTCGGGTTTCGCTGAGGCTCGGTGGAGGCCCGGGGCGGGGAGCCCCTGGTCACTTGCAGGCCGCGCTCGCTCCGCTCCTCTGCCGCCACGGCCATGACCGACTCCTCGGCCTGGCCAGGACATGCCAGGACGAGAGGCTGCGGCATTGTGCGCACATTATACGGACGCGCGGGAAACCTCGGATCTGCGCAGCCGTTCTTTCTCCGCCTCTCTATTTCTCAAGCGCAAAGCGTGGGTCTACCTCTGAAAGCGCTCGCCAAAGATGAACATCTTTGAACTCGCCACTCAGATGACCTTGGACTAGCTCAGTTGAAAGTAAAACGTTCAAGCCAAGGAGGGACCCTGGTCGCAAGACAACACCGTGTGTGCAACCTGGATACGGAAGACTCTTTTGAAGCCTGCTGGCAACAGAGACTCATCCGCAACTAGCTGACCGCCCGATTCCTTTCCAGGGCTGCAGAGCAACTCCAACCTCACACATGGCCCAGTATGAGACATCAAGTTTGCAAGAGGCTGGAAGAGTCAATGGCAGTCATTCTGGATTCTCCGCAAGCACTGGTTTTTGACTAATGAAACAACTAAAACATGTGCTGCTTGCAGGTGGTAACCTTGCCACAGGACTACAGACGTAACCTAGATCGGAGTACATGGTGTTGACGAACGTCAGATTTGCTGGATCGTCGAAGTAGGCCTCGTTCTCGACCCATATCAGCGGCTGATTCTTTTTTATGGTCTGGCGCGCCCCACGCACCACATGCCATTCCATGAACTCAACATCGATTTTTATCAAACTGATACGTTTGTCGAACTTGATGTTGTCCAAAGGGCGGACTGTCAAAGTCTCCTGACGTGGTTCGTATCGGAGATTGGCTTCTTTGGCTGCCTTGTCGGGTCCGAACTGGTCGAGAACTCGTATAGCAGATGGGAAATTGAAGCTTGTGAGGTCGGGTACAAAGGCAGCGACCTCCTCTTCCTTTGTCCCCAGAGCGATGTTGTATGTGTAGACATTGCTCAAGCCGTTCAAAGCGACCTTGTACATACACAGGCGCGGCAACGATCTCGCACTACGCTACTCTGTCCGACCAAAGCCCCGACTGCAAGATTCCAAAACACGACCGAATATTTGTGATGTTGTTGCTGCATGGTCCCTCATGTCCGGTTCCGATTGTACTTGGTAAGTATGTATACGTGGTAACTGGCAACTTTCGACAAGGTACAGGGAATCACACCTACTCTCTCCGACAGAAGTGAAAAGGACATCACCGATTCTGGAGAAAAGATCTTGAAGCCAAGCGTTTCATTCGTGCTGTTCAAACAAAACCAGAGCCGAATCTAGCTCATACTATCGACAAATCAAACGGAACCGAGGGCAAGCCCACTCTGCCCCCAATTCGTCCTCTTGAAGCAACACCCTATGGCCCTGCGGAGCTTGGGCGGAAACAAGATGAACAGCTTACTGCTGCAGAGTTGATTGCAAGCATCGTTTGCATTCAGGTGCTGGAACACCTTGCGGAAAGGCTCGAAGGCATGCACTTCACCGTCAGGGCCAACACGCTCAGCTAATGGTACGGTGAACCCACCAACGTTGGCACCTCGGTTGCCTACGTTCACCACTCAGCACTCCGAGACCAAGCATCTGGAAAACCTGCCGTGGACGGCCACATGTTCTGCGCTAAAAGCCAGCCCGAAAACATGTCTGACGGAAAATGCGGGCAATCAATGCCATCAATACACACCGTGCCCATTCCTTGTGGTACACAGGTCACCCGTTGTTTCCAGTCTACTTTCTCTGTAATTAGGGCATGTGATTCGGGCACAATTTTCCGGCAGACTAAGGCAAGCGCCAACATCGATGACGGCATCCCCAGTCCGACATAGCGTCTGCAAAGCGTACGATTGGCCCAAGTCGAAGGTTCCAAGCTGACGCACAGAATTGCCAACGTTGATGTCGAATGCTGGCGCCACAAAGAAGTGTGGCATCTCCGCCACATTGACATCCTGACATGAATCATTCTCTCGAATGAAAGACGTGCTGTCGAATGCCAGAAGCAGCGCTGACCCCCAAGAAACACTTAGCTCAACTCAATGTCGATGAACTTGCAACCCAAAAAACTCAGGTTGACTCTTGGAGGCGACTGGCGGCCAAGGGTCGCCCAAGCAGCAAAGCTCGTAGGTGAAGTAGTCATCCCAGCATTCTTCGAAGCCCCGAGGGCCGTGCATCGTGTCGCAGCACTGCCCGGGATCTATGCTGTTTCGACTGACTCCTTATGGCTGGCACGGAATCATGAGAAAATAGCCTAGAAGTGCATAGCGACTTATTCATGAACACCCTTCAGAGAAATTTCCAGGCGGACCTTGCGAGTCATGTCGAAACACGGTTGACAAGACAGGGAAAACGGGAGACAAGTGGTGATGCAAATCTGGAAGAATGACTGGTTCAGTTTTAAATTGCACAGCCCGCCTACCAACCAGTTCCCAAAGTTCCCAGGTCTGTTAAGAGAAGTCACAAGATCAGAGAAGACATGCGAAACGCGTTACACGACTGGGAATCTAGGACATACATATCCCATCACAGCAGTAATTGTTTCTGCGCTGAGGCGAGTTCCCAACTCATCCAGCCAACACAGCCGCGCACCGCTGGTTGAGACCGGAGGCCATGTGTGATGAGCTGTTATCAAAGTTGGGTAGTGGATGCCTCCTGCATGGACGGTTTTTTCTCTCGGCCGCCACCGTGTCCGCAACTTGTAGAGACAGTCGATGAAAGCCTGGGGTGCAGATGGGCGCAGTGCGACAATCTAGTTCATTCACTTTACAAACAACGCAACGTAAAGCTTGAGGAGTTCTTGAAGCGACCTAGCTGCGGATCTGTTGTATGGGTTGAGCCATTCGGATTGGAACCCTTGCTGCGAGAAGTCGGTGCTTCTGAAGCGCTTCATGCACGACTCACGGCCTTCCCGTTCAAGCTGCGTCTCTGGTAGCCATGCCTCACGGTCTCTCTGCGACCTTCAGGGTACACAGGTCCAACCACCACGAGCAAACGCTTTCGTTCATTTGCCTACATCACCTGCTCAAATCGACACGCACAAGGAGCCACGACAGTGCAAAAGCGCGGACTGCAGCCATGGCTGCATGCCTGGAGTGGCTCTAAGTCAGCTCAATGCGAGCGAGGCATGACTTCGCCGGTTTTGCGGACCATGCCACTTGCATGGTTGTATTTTCAATGCATGCCGTTGTGAACAAAATCTGCAGCATCGGGTTGCATGCTGTAGAGTAGACTATAGGATGCACGCTATGGGCCTGGGACACTCCAGCCAGGCAAGCTGTCTACAGCATCACGTCTGCCAAACTATCGGTGCCGTGCTGCGTGGCACTATGCACCTCGTCGGGAGGCAGGGCCGCCACCAAGCAGCATCGTGCTGTCCGCGTTGGACAGTCTGCTACTGGACCGTCCCCAAACGCAGCAAGTCTGTAAGTTCTTGAACTTGTCTCACGCTTAGATTGACTATTCTGGTGCGGTTTGCGCATGGCTGTGGTACCCTAGGCTCCGTATGAAGATAGTGACAATACAAAACCATTGTCACTGCTGGCGTCTTCGCTCCCGGTCTTGTCATCTCACAACTGAAGTGTTCCGGCTTTTGTTCCCGAAGGGCCTTCGTAACACATCTGGAGCCGAGCCGAGGCAGGTCTTTGCTGCACCTCCAAGTACTGCGTGGCTTGGGCCCAGTGAAAGGAAGCAGCCCGAGCGGTCTTGAAGAGGCAGCAGCCCAAGCTCGTCGTACTTGCTTGCGTCACTGGAATCCATTGTGGGTTTCCTGGCCATCTACCTGCGGTGCCACCTTGAGTTTCCCTCGTTCAGGGTCCTTCTGCGCCACTCCTCGACACCCCCACCCCCCGAAGGGTTTTCATCCTCCTCCTCCTTCCGCCCTTCCCCGTCATGTGTCCCTGCCCATGTCGCGGCTGGATAAAAAAACCCTTCTCTGTTCTGTGGGGGGACCGTCAGTTTCTCGGCACCCCCTATCTGGGAGGTTTGAGCTTCCTCGGCATGTCGCAGCTGAATAAACCCTTCTTTGTTCCGTGGGGGGTCTTTCTCGCCCCCGCTGCAAGGTCTCCGTGCTGCTGTTGAGGTCCCCTTTCCCTGCCCCCCGATCCTTTTTGCATCCGTTGTGGGGTTTGGTGTTTCTGACCACCTTGCGAGTCACTCCTTGGACAACTCACGCCCCCCTGCTTCCCTGTCGTGGGTCCTTGGCCATTTCAAACCCTTCCCTCCCCTCCGTGGGGTCTTCCTCGCCCCGGTTGCAGGGTCTCCGTGCCATCTGTTGTGGTCCCCGTTCCCTCGCCTTCCCAGTTTTTTGTTGCTCCCGTTGTGGTCTCCTGACCCTCTCCTTGTGTTCCCCGTCTTTTCTGCCGGTGTGCGGGGGGAGGGGTTCGGCTTTTTCTGGTGGTGGGAAAAAATAAAAAGGCTGAAGGGTGGAAAAAAACACCGGCCGACGGGGGAAAAAACACACACACACATGCAGGCGGAAGGGGAAAACAACAACCCACACATGCCGAATTAAAACCCAGCCCGCACAGTTGACGGTGCCTGGTGTAAAGACATGCAGCAGGGCAGTGGCCACTCGAGTCCAGTCACAAGGCGTTCTGGAAATAACCGGCTGCAGCATTTCCTAGAGCAGGATGCACAGGCCAACACCAGAGGATCATCTTTTCCGCACGTTGCATGTTCTGTGAATTCCATCTGGGCCCAATGAATTCTTTGCAAGGCCACGAATCGCAACTGATTGCGCGAGAAACATATGTTAAATTCACGGAGATTTTGTCGGGCCTTGCCAGGACGCTGCGTGCAGTACGCAGGCAGCATCGTGATGTGGACCTCCTAATTGTTCCAGCATTGCAAGTGCACCGCTTTGATTGCTTGTACACTAAATAATTGCATGGGCAGCAGGGGCTGCCCGAGGTACATAAAAAAACGAGACATTTTCGAATGCAGGCAGCCTCGCAGGATCACGTAGCTTGCCCGAAGATGTCAAAGCAAAGCTGCAGAAGCTGACAGCTATCGCAAGGAGCACAAGAACTTCCGCCTTAAGCACCGGCCAGCACTGCATGGCTAGCAACGCGCTGATGCGTCTGCAGCATGTACTTCTTCCGCACGGCCTCGCGACCGCAATCGGCAGGACTCAGCGCGTTTTCCGGGAAAGAAGTGCGGCCCCTGCCTGCAGCGAAGCTGCTGGGGCGGCTCGCAGCAGCGACCGCAGCTCCTGAAGTAAAGCATGCTGACGAAAGCACAAGCACTTGGGTCCCTCGCCTCTGCGCAGCCTCGCAGCTCCTCCTCTGTGTGTCTGCACGTCTGCACCTGCGCACGGTGCACGGACGAGAAGATCGAAACAGAGACAAGATCTCAGCTCTAAGTCCAAACTCCCCACGTGCAAATCGTGTCGGCACCATCACATCTGGCCATAGAGCTGCCCTGCCGAAGAGGTCGTTGCTAAGCAAGATCGCTGCTGCGAGCAGGTGGGAAGGACTGGGCGCAGACATCGGTTTGATTCAACCGTCTGTCAAAGTCTCGAGCCGTTGCCAGTCAAGCTCCACGCGGATACCGGATCATCCGCAGATCGATGAGTGCCTCGGACTCTGAGGAGGAATAGAACTTGGTTTGGAGCTGGAACGGGCACCCGGTTTTACAAAGGGCAGCGCAAGCTCGAGGATATACTTGACCGTCTCAGTGTGAAGAGCGTTCTCGCTGTTGACCTGAGCAGGGTCAAGCTACGAGGCACGAGTACAATAGTGACAACGATGATGATAGTGATGATGGCGACGACGATGAGGTTCCTGAAGGACACGACAACGAAGAGAACGACCTAGCAGAGGACTTGGAGGAGAGGAGGGGCCGCAGTGGCATGCCTTGACGAACTGGTCGAAGAAGTGGGCAGGCGTTGGCACCACCACTCGAAAGTCTAGGGCCTAGGTGTGATGTTCCCCTCGAGCTTGTTGCCTGCTGCTTGAAATGAGCTAGCCGAGGCCCCCACTGAAAGCATTGTGCACTCCATTTGCAAGAGGTCATCCTTCCCATGTACAACAACAACGAAGTGTTTTGGTGCTCCCGGCCCTTTCCCGGATCTATGCATCTCTACCCGTGCCTTGGAGTAGGTGTTGTCTGTTATGTAAACGAAGTCCGTGGCACGCGGCGGGTCAATTTCCTCAAACTTGGCCGCCACGAACATGGCCGTAACCCCCACCAGCTGCAAACGCCTGAAAGGGCACACACCGGAAAGGCAAACGTGTTACTTCGACTGCACGTTCCCGCAGCAATCCAAACCTTCGAGGCGAAAGATGACATCCACGTGTCTAGTTCTGGATGTTGGCCCGTGCTCGTTGCAAGGCTTGGGTTGCCCTCTCACTGCTGAAATTTGAAAAGTCGACGGCTTGTTGGCTGCGGCTTGCGACCTGCTTGCAGAACGAGAACTGCAGCATGCGCTGCTCGAGTTTCGTTTTGCAGTCCGGGTCAAACTTCCACACAAGAGATCAAAAGAGCAGCAGAGAAAGCAAGCTCAGCTTCCCATCACTCGAAAGGCCTCCTCAGCACGGGCAAAGCAGTCATGTGGCGGTCGATGAGGTTCACGGCCTTAAGCAAGATGTGCGGCAACAGCAGATCGGCGGGTGGCGGGTGTCTCCGGCGTGCAAGTCTACGGAAGA